ACATTACATTGCATTTAGCTGACGCTTTTATCCAAAGCGACTTACAATAAGTACATTCGACCAGGAAGACACAACCTTGAAGAAAACAGAATCATATAAGTACATCAGGTTTCATAGAGCCAAACATTTCAAGTGCTACTCAACTGGCTATAGATAAGCCAGTCCTTTATTAGTATATAAGTGCTCTGTTAGCAGTTATTTGTTAGTAATTCTATCGCTCGAGGTGGAGTCGAAAGAGATGAGTTTTCAGTCTGCGCCGGAAGATGTGCAAGCTATCTGCTGTCCTGATGTCAATGGGGAGCTCATTCCACCATTTTAGAGCCAGGATAGCAAACCCACGTGTTTTTGCTGATAGGAACTTGGGTCCCCCTCGCAGCGAGGGTGCAGCGAGTCGTTTGGCTGATGCAGAGCGTAGTGCACACGCTGGGGTGTACAGTTTAACCATGTCCTGGATGTAGGAAGGGCCAGATCCATTCGCAACATGCAAGTACCAGTGTCTTGAAGTGGATTCTAGCAGTTACCGGAAGCCAGTGAAGGGAGCGGAGGAGCGGAGTGGTGTGGGAACATTTCGGAAGGTTTGAAGACCAGACGAGCCGCTGCATTCTGGATGAGCTGCAGAGGTCGGATGGCACATGCAGGTAGACCAGCCAGGAGGGAGTTGCAGTAGTCTAGGCGTGAGGTGACGAGAACCTGGACCAGAACCTGTGTGGCTTTCTGGGTCAGCTGGGGACGTATCCTCCTGATGTTGTAAAGCGTGTATCTGCAGCAGCGGGTTGTAGCAGCGATGTTTGCAGTGAAGGACAGGTTGTTATCTAGGGTCACACCCAGATTCCTTGCAGTCTGAGTCGGGGAAACAATAGAGGTGCCGATGTTGATTGTCAGGTCAAGAGTGGGACAATCTTTTCCTGGAAGGAAAAGCAGTTCAGTCTTGTCAAGGTTGAGTTTGAGGTGATGAGCAGACATCCACTGAGAGATGTCAGCTAGACAAGCAGAGAGACTGCGTGTCTGTCTGCTAAACAGTCTCTCAGACAGTGATCAAGCTTGTCAGGTATTGACAGGACACAGTACAGAGAATTCTTACAGAGGGCAGGGTGTTATTTATGTGCAGGTGTGCGTGAAACAGGTAACACATTGCTGCTGCTCTGGCAGAGATATCCTTAGTGTCTTTCAATAGTAGTAGAACAGTGAACATGAAATACAAACACAAACTCCGTTAACAGTCTCTGAAGCAGCTGTTAAAGCTACTGACATCCGATCCAGCGGCAATCAGCTGATCACAAACTGAAGTTGTCTAACTTGACATCCCCCTCACAGACTTCCACTCTGTTTGCGTGGAGGGTCCGCCACATTAAGTGCCATTCCAATCCAACATGTGTGGAGGGTGGGTGTGTTATCAAGCCCTCCACCAGCAAGTCTGCATCTGTCCTGACTTCACCTGGGTTGCGTTCGATTTGTCAGATTAGTTTAGGAAGGATCGTAACGGAGTGAAAATACCCGGAAGTACCTCAGTGTCAGCCATGATAAGAGCTGTTGGAATCTCTAGAGCCCTTTCTCAATTGTCCTCCGGTAGTGACCCGGAAATCGATGTCAGCGCGCCATGTTGAAGGACATCTAATGCACATCGAGGATTGAAGATCGAGGAGGCTCTCTGGGCCTAACCCTAGGAGACGCAAGGCCAGGATTCCAGCCCGTACCCCAGCAGCCATGGTTCCGGCTCCAGTACCGGCCCCAGCAGCCATGGTTCTGGCTCCCGTATCTGCTCCAGTTCTGGCGTTCCGGCCCACTCCAGCTCCCCGTGTTCTGTTGGAGGTCCCGCCATCACCTGTTTCGCCAACCCAATGTCCTGGTCCGTTGGGGGTTCCGCTGGGGGTCCTGCCAACTCTGTGTCATGTTCCGTTGGGGGTCCCGCCATCACCTGTCTTGCCGGGGGTCTTGCCAACTCCTTGTCCTGTTTCGTTGGGGGTTACGCTGAGGGTCCTGCCAACCCCATGTCCTGTTCCGTTGGGGGTCCAACCGACACCTGTTTCGTCGGGGGTCCTGCCAACCCCATGTCCTGGTCCGTTGGGGGTTCCGCTGGGGGTCCTGCCAACTCTGTGTCCTGTTCCGTTGGGGGTCCCGCCATCACCTGTCTCGCCGGGGGTCCTGCCAACTCCTTGTCCTGTTTCATTGGGGATTCCGCTGGGAGTTCTGCCAACTCCGTACCCTGACCTGTTGGGGGTCCCGCCGACACCTGTTCCGCCGGGGGTCCCGCCAACACCTGTTCCGTCGGAGGGCCAGACAGCTCCGAATCCTGTTCAGTCAGAGGTCCCGCTACCACCAGATCCTGAACCGCCGGGGGTCCCGCCAACACCGGTTCCTGTACCGCCATCCCCAGCTCCCAGTGCTCCTGATTCCTGTGCTCCTGCTTCGGCGATCCAGCTGACCCCGGAGGGGCCCTATTGCGGCCTCCGCCGACTTCCTGCCCGTCCTCCAGAGCTGTCCCGGCGCTGCCTTCCTGCCCGTCCTCCGGAGCTGTCCCGGCGCTGCCTTCCTGCCCGTCCTCCGGACCCCCTCCACCCACCCTTCTAGAGGTTTTGGACTTTTTAGTTTTTTTTGTTGGGACATCTGGAATCCGTCCCTTGAGGGGGGGGGGGGGGTTCTGTCATGGTTTTGGATTGTTGTTTTCATTTTCCACCTTATTTTGAAATGTTTTCCTCCTTGTGTCTGGTCCTACTTCCTGTGTTTGCCTTCCTGTCGTTAGTTTCCCTGGTGTGTCTGATTGTGTTCATCTGTTGCCCTTGTGTTTCTGCCTCCCCTGCCCAGCTGTGTCTTGTCCTGTGATTACCCTTCTGTGTATTTAGTCTTGTCTTCCCCTATGCTCCATGTCTGTTCGTCGTCATTTCATGTCCCTGCTACCTGTCGTCTATGCTTGTCCATGTCTCCTGCCTGTTCCCGTCTGTAAGTTTGTTCCTGTCTGTCGTGCTCCCCGGTTTTGTTTCTGTTAATTAGTTTCTTGTTTTTTCGTGCCTTCGGCTTTTTATAATAAAGCTCTCTTTTTGTTAACAAACCTTTTTGTATTTTTTAACTGCACTTGGGTCCTATTTTCCCCAAACCTGACAGCAAGCAACATTTGCTAAATGGAGATGGCTGCTACCCCAGCTGTCCTACAGGGGAAGAGTTCTTATAGCAAATCATCTGGTTGCCTCGTCTCTGTGGCACAGACTCCAGGTGTTAACCCCACCGGCGGGCCTCATGAAACAACTGCAGCGGCTCCTCGTGGATTTCTTCTGATCGGGTCATCACTGGGTGCCAGCATCGGTCCTGTGCCTACCTGTGGCGAAGGGGGGGGGTGGGCAGGGGGCAGGGGGCAGTGCCTTGTGGACATTACTGTGAGGACTGCTGCTTTTAGACTGCAGGAAGCTCAGCGGCTGCTGTATGGTGCCTCTCCCTGCTGGCTGGCTATGGCCCGGCTGTTGCTCTGGAGGGCAGGGGGCTTTGGTTTTGATAAACACCTGTTTCTGCTGAAGTCCCCTGCGTACAAGATAATTGGACTTGCACCTTTTTACTGCTGAGTTTTACCAGACCACCTGACCCCCTACCTGGGATGTGGCTGTTTGAGGAGCTACTGTTTGACACTGGTTTTCTTTCTGGAACCCTTTTCTCTTCGGCCACCCTAAAAAACGCGTTCATTGAAGCGGGAGTGGTAAAACTTGGCCATTTGACAGGGATCTCCACGGAAAAACTGGCTGAGGTGACGGGTATTCGATCAACCCGAGTTCTGGAGAACTTGGTGGATGAGTTGTGGCAGTTGCTGTCGCCATCCCACCTGACTTTTTCTCTAAATGCAGATCTGGCTGACCAGTGGAGAAAGGGACATGAGTATGTCGTTCCTGCCTTGAATGGGGGTCCTGCGGTGGGGGAATGGAGAGAGGAGGATGGTCTCCTGCTATCACTGGGGACTCTAACACCTAGAAAGTTCAGCGCCGGCAATGGAAAGCAACTATATCTTAGCTGCGTGAAGGTGCTAAATCTCAGTTCTCTCGCAGGCGTCAGAGAGTCGAGGTGGACAGATGGGTTTGGTTTGGGCTTTTCCCCTCAGGGCAGCTGGCGGATCCTGTATAAAGCTCCGGTTGAGAAACGGATGGCTGATATCCAATGGAGAATCATACATGGAGCAATAGCCACTAACAAATACAGAGCTCATTTTGACCCAGGCACAAGGGGGGGCTGTCCGTTCTGTTTTATGGCAGAAACATTGGATCATTTAGTGGTGTCCTATCCCCGATTGGTTGGTCTAAAAGAAACATTACAGGAGTGGGTGGAAGGGTTCGGGGAGGTTTTCTCCATACCACTTTTTGTCCTTGGCCCCAAATACACCCTGAAAAAGAGGGAAACTCTAGTACTGATACTCTAGTACTGATACATTTCTTGTTTGCTAATGCAAAATTAGCAATCTGGAAAAGTCGGAAAAACCAACTTGCTGGAGTGGGATGGACGGATGCAGTGCTCTGTCTCTGAGGGGGCTGGTGGCAGTGCGTCTGAGGGTGGAGCATGCGTACTATACGCTGATCAATCATCTGCAGGGGTTTCTGGATGTGTGGGCTGTTGGGCAGGTTCTGTGCTCGCTGGGGGAGAATTACTCTCTAATATTGACATTTTAAAAATGAGGTGTAGTCTTTGTTTTTAAAGTGTGTAAAAGAGGATGTTTTTAAATGGGTGATGTTTCAAATTATATTTATTTTGTTAGTGGTAAAATCTGGTTATTTATTTGAAATTGTAATGTATTAGGGTTTTTTCAAACTCTTTTGCAGGGTGTGTGTATAGTTAAAACAAATGTAAATAACAATTGTTTTAAAAATCTAAATTATTCTTCTTCTATATATAAGTCCAGCTATTATATATTTTAATTACACATGTATGTTTTATTCAATGTGAATGTCAAACAAAGGACAGGAAACAAAAGCATTTCATTTCACACTGGGATATTTGACTGGTCTCAATTGATATGTTTGTCCTCTCAGATCTTTGGTCCAGTGCAGTGCATCTTCAGTTTTAAGAGCCAGCAGGAGGCCATAGAGCGGGCCAACAGCTCCCGGTATGGCCTGGTGTCCGCAGTGTTCACAGCCAGCATAGACAGAGCTCTGTCTGTGTCTGCAGCCCTGGAGACTGGCACTGTCTGGTGAGTCCCCATTTCATTTGCCTTTTTTATTTGTCAATAAAACAACATTTACATTTTATTCCAACAGCATCATGGGGCAAAATTCAGGCATGATCTGGTGAAGTAATGTAATGCATGATCATTATACAAAATTCGAAACATTTTTCAATGTGTCGTTCTAGCAATTTTCTCTACTATCCATATTCACATATCAAACAATATGCACAAAAGGAACACACAATCAGAGACTAAGAAACAATATGGCTGACTGACTCCACTTGACAATACCACTCGTAAAAAACTGATCCTCAGCGAGCCCCAAGTGGTCTGTAATATCACGGCTGAGGGAAGAACTCAGCAAATTGGACTTAATAGCGTGTGATCACCATGAGAATAAAATCAAATGCTGCATTTTCCTCCACAGCCATAACTGCACCATGTATCAAACATCAGTAATGTCTAACTTTAAACTAAAATTGACATTACACACTGCCCGATATGTATTGATCAGCCTCAATCATACGAAAGCAAAGATGCAAACACGCAATGAAACTGAGATTTTTGTCACGCAAAAACATACTCAGCTTTGTTAAAATTAAATGCATATTGATTTTGGTTCTCAGTTATTCTAACAAATGACATGTAATGTAATGTTAATTGTTTCTCTAACTTTAACGTTTTAACAGAAAATTATCTGAAATCTTTATTTTGTATTATATGTTTTACATTTTTCGACTGGCCTTAATTTCACTGCTGGTAAAGGGTTTCTTTTATGTGATTACAATTTGGTTTTGGCCCTTATTACGTTTTGTGTTCTCTATCTTTGTTCAGGATAAACTGCTATAACGCCCTTCATGTCCAGACTCCCTTTGGAGGGTATAAGATGTCAGGCAATGGACGAGAGCTGTAAGAACCATCACTGTCTTCATATTTCAGATTATTCACTTGTTTCCTGTGTGTTCCCTCACCATGTGTTGTTTCTCTCCTCTCAGGGGAGAGTATGCTCTGGCTGAGTACTCAGAGGTGAAAGCAGTGACCATCAAATTAAGAGAAACTCTGTGAGAAGGACTACACTATACACCTCTGTCTTCACTCATGCTGCTGAGGCTGAGTTTAGGAATAGATCGGAATAGTTGGTCACTATGTCAGATCCCAGAAGATTGATGTTTGTTCACCTTTTCTCTTAAATGATGTAGGTGAAGAAATACTTTTACTTAACAGTTTCAGTAATGTCAGTATAAAAAGCCATTATTTAAAAAAAAAATACTGAAACGATGATTGGATAAAAAAAAGCGTTTGCTTTATGGGCCATTTTTAGAGCTTTCTGCCCTCATGAGTAGAAGACATAACCTACATGTTTAAAGTAAAGGTGATCTCTGGTCTTTGGTGTCACATGTGAATCCTCTTTCTCCGTTCGTCCACTGACTCCTCTGTTCGTCCACTGACTCCTCAAGTCGTCCACTGACTCCTCTGTTTGTCCACTGACTCCTCTGTTCGTCCACTGACTCCTCTGTTCGTCCACTGACTCCTCTGTTCGTCCACTGACTCCTCTGTTCGTCCACTGACTCCTCAAGTCGTCCACTGACTCCTCTGTTCGTCCACTGACTCCACTGACTCCTCTGTTTGTCCACTGACTCCTCTGTTCGTCCACTGACTCCTCTGTTCGTCCACTGACTCCTTTGTTCGTCCACTGACTCCTCTGTTCGTCCACTGACTCCTCTGTTCGTCCACTGACTCCTCTGTTCGTCCACTGACTCCTCAAGTCGTCCACTGACTCCTCTGTTCGTCCACTGACTCCTCTGTTCGTCCACTGACTCCTCTGTTCGTCCACTGACTCCTCTGTTCGTCCACTGACTCCTCTGTTCGTCCACTGACTCCTTTGTTCGTCCACTGACTCCTTTGTTCGTCCACTGACTCCTCTGTTCGTCCACTGACTCCTCTGTACGTCCACTGACTCCTCTGTTCGTCCACTGACTCCTCTGTTCGTCCACTGACTCCTCAAGTCGTCCACTGACTCCTCTGTTTGTCCACTAACTCCTCTGTTTGTCCACTGACTCCTCTGTTTGTCCACTGACTCCTCTGTTCGTCCACTGACTCCTCTGTTTGTCCACTGACTCCTCTGTTTGTCCACTGACTCCTCTGTTTGTCCACTGACTCCTCTGTTCGTCCACGTCCACTGACTCCTCTGTTCGTGCACTGACTCCTCAAGTCGTCCACTGTCTCCCAGTTGTCCACTGTCTCCTCCGTTTGTCCACTGACTCCTCCTTCGTCTACTGACTCCCACTCGTCCACTGACTCCTCCGTTTGTCCATTGACTCAAGTAGTCCACTGACTCCTCCAGATGTCCACTGGCTCCTCCAGTCGTCCACTGACTCCTCTGTTCGTCCATTGACTCAAGTAGTCCACTGACTCCTCCAGATGTCCACTGGCTCCTCCAGTCGTCCACTGACTCCTCCAGATGTCCACTGGCTCCTCCAGATGTCCACTTGCTCCTGCTCTGTGACCTTGGATTGACTGGTAGGAGCCAGTGGATGCTGGAAGAAGTTTTAGGCGTTTACAGACAGCTGAAGTTGTGGGTCCTCTGGTCCAGGGTCCTTGCTCATTCTGATGTAGTTTCCCTGTCATAATTAAAACCACAGAGACTACAACTCAGCTAAAACGTGAGCTTAGCCTGATTGATCCGATCTCCATTTAGAAAACACGCATTTTAAATGTTTTCGCCTGCCGTCTTGTAAGGACACTTGCAAAGCATCAATTCATGGTTTTTCCTAACCGGTATCAGTATAGTTATTTCTGCATCATTTTGAAACGTGTATGACAGTTAAATTAGGGGGAAATATGTTCATGTTGTTGTTGGTATCTTTATATGTGTAGTAAGAGCCAGTGAGCAACGTACTTTCATAATGATTTAAAAAAAGCTGTTAACACGTGATAAAATAATTATAATAATAATTGTTGGCGTTAATTAATAAAGCGTTAACTTGCCCAGCCCTAGTTTTAATACATCCTGCTTAGGTTATGATTATTGTATGACAAGCTTTTGTAGTTTAATACAGATTAACATAAAGCCGTGTTCAATTTATTCTGTTGTCGGAAATGTGTTTGAATAGAATAAAAGAACGTGTGGCAAAATAGGATTCTGTGTGTCTATTTTGAACAATGTTCAACTTTATTTCTGTTGCACTGAAATGCACATTACTTTCTTCCTTGGTTCACTTTATTTTTTTCTTCACTTGAATGGAAATATTAATACGCTGTTTAGAAGTAAGACGGCTGTCGGGAATTATTTTGAAAAATAAGACCGGAAAAGCCGCCGGTGTCCGGTCTGACTTGACACCGTGCGTGTGGGTTGGAAAGTTTGCATGCAGGGATCAGGAAGTGGGCACAGTATAGCCCCGGGTGAAGCTGTTTGGCGGACCAATGTTCTGTACTGTCTGGAGTCATTTCTGGATCCTATCTGCAGTAATGTGCCGAGCAGCCATCAGGTGAGTTGGCTAACAAACTGCTACGTCATGTTTCAACTATTAGCGGGTTTTCCTTCGTAAATCTGAGGAAGCATTATCTATTTAAACATCATTTTCTAATAATCTTTTATTGTAAATACTCACGAAGTACTTTTCATATCGTTAGGCCTGTCATTATTCTGGTCGGCTATTACAACAACAAATACACACAGACAAACACATACTCACTTTGATTTCAAACCTCAACACATACACACACAGACAAAGTTTGTGTGTGAGGATGAAACACAAATAAAAAAACCGGTATGTTATAAACACGCAGTGAATAATTAATATATTTAAAACTCAGGTTATTTTGTCCTGACATTTCTAAATAGATGTCTTCTACTTATGTCGTGCTTTTGTTTCTCAGCATTTGGCTCATAAAGCAGGCTCAATAAGGTTTTTCCACCAGGTTCTGCTGCCTTAGTTAGTGTCTTATGTGGTGTAGATTCACTGAGAGTTGAAGATGTTAATGCTCTCAGACAGAGCGACTCTGGGTTTGTGACACTATTATTATTATTATTATTATTATTATTAAGCGTCTTTGAACATTAGGAAAAGCGCTATAAAAATCCAATGTATTGTTATTATTATTATTATTATTATCCACTGTGCTATTGCTGTGTTGTAGCCTAGTTACTAACACTGTTCCGTGGAAGCCCTCTGTTACATCACATTACAATATTACATTTAGCTTTCTATTATTATTATTATTATTATTATTGGCACAAGGTGAACACAGGTGTTTTTTTTTGTCTGTAACAGAAGATATCTATGGGGAGTTTGTTGCATCATTTAGGAGCCAGGCAGGGGCGGATCTAGAAAAAATATTCATGGGGTGGCAAGAGGGTGGCAGGAGATTTTGAGGGGTGGCATCCCCTGGCAGAAGTATGCTGATTCAACACATTCTCACTCCCAACTCGGCCTATGTTGACGTTATGCCAGGGTCCCTGTCCTCACTTTCCAACGCGAGGGGGGCCCTTTAGCGTTGAGTGTCAACTATCAGGGAGTCCCATTGACTTGCTTAGATCTCCCTGAACGTTGGTAATAGACGAGTTGGGATCACGGCGAAATGCTCTCCGCAGATCCATTCTCACAGCGTTTGTCAATCTTTTTATAACTCAATATCAAGCCACACTTATTGTGTTTACTTCTTTATTTTAATTGAATAATGTCGGACTTTTGTTGACGCAAGTTAGGGGGAGAGTAGGGGCTCAGAAAACTGAAATATGTATTGTTTCATCGTTTTTTCCTCCTAATTTTGTATTCTTTTCTAAACCACACACTGTTATTTACTCTAATAAGACACAATTATCCTTGTGTTTATTTATTTGTTTGATTGTATAATGTCAGACTTTTGGAGTCCGTCAGGACCGAGTCGGAGCAGCTCATTCGAACACAGGAAGCTGTATTTTCAAAATAAGAGTTCATTTTAATATTATGTTTGATTATATTATTTGTATTAACTAGACCACTGGGCCATGTTAAGACCATCTTTTCTGTCGGTTTGATGTTACAAATATAAAAACAATATATGTGTGGATAACAAAATACATCCATCATAAACTAAACTGGAAACAGCAGTATATTTTATTGTGTTAACTGTAAACCTGAGTGCTTTAACCGCCTAGAGCAGGGGTCGGCAACAGGCGGACCGCGGTCCGGATCCGGACCCAGGCGCCGACCTATACGGACCCGGACCTATAATCAATACATTAATAGGGGATTTCCATTTTGATGGGGCGATTCTATTTTAACTGCCGCCGCCAGGGGGCGATAGAGACGAGTGAGCGATACAGGGAGAGAAACACAGAAGAAGAGATGAGAGCGCGATACAGGGAGAGAAACACAGAAGAAGAGACGAGAGCGCGGCAGAGAGAAGAGGAGAGGAAAGTGAGTGAAGAGAATAATTAGCGATACAGGGAGAGAAGCGGAGAGGAGAGAGAACAGGCGTGTTAGCGGCAGACAGGGAGAGACAAATAATTACACATGGCGCTCTCCAAGAAGAGGAAAGTGGACAGTGAGAACAGAGATTTTAACCCTGAGTGGACTCATTCATGTTCATCCTGCCCACTGGGAGCACAGAGCCAGTGTGTCTCATATGTTCAGAGGCCGTGGCGCTCATTAAAAGTGCCAAAACGCCACTATGAGACAAAACACAAAGTGTTTGACCAAACATTCCCTCTCAAGTCAGAACTGAGGTCACAACAAATAAGCAGTCTCAGAGCCCAATATGATCAGTCCACCAGGATCAAAATTAAAACTAAATATCGTTCCAGAGCAGGCTAACCGAGGCTAACCAATGAGCACCTGCATGTGTGTATGAGAAAGGCCCTGACTCCATTTCAGCCCAGATTTAAACTCCTGGCAGGACAAGCTCGAGCTCAATTCTCACACTGAATTAAAAAAAAGTGAGTGAGGGACTGCAATATAAGAGGGAAAGAAAGAGAAACTTTAAAACTGTTCAGTTGTTATGATGTGTAAAGACTAGGGATGTAACGATACCAAAAACTCACGGTACGATAATATCGCGATTAAAAAGTCCACGGTACGATATTTATCGCGATATTGAAAAATTACGGAGCCCTGGAGGGTTCATAGAGAGAAAAATAAATAAAACGTGGCCACGTTTTACTTTCTCGTGCGCACGCTTTAGTAACTCGTGCGCACGAGTTACTAAAGCGTGCGCACGAGTTACTAAAGCGTGCGCACGAGTTAATAAAGCGTGGCCTCGTTTTATTTCAATTGAGGGATTCCTGTCCGTGACTCACAGTATCTGCTGCCCACAGCTGTTTTATAGAAGGAAAACCTCCTTCACTTTATGAAATCTCTGCGGCACCAGTGGCCTGTACTACGAAGCAGGATTTGCTATTTACACTATTCATTCATGAAGTATGACGCTGCCCCTGTCAGCACGCGTCTCCATGTTTGTGATTGGTCAAATGTTGCTAACCCCGTCCCTTTCACGTGAGCGCGCTCTCAGCCGGACAGAGAAACCCTGGTTGATTTACTGAGTTGATAACCAGCTTCGTAGGACCGCTTATCGACATCGCGTTTGTTAGGGTCAGTTAAGCCCCTGTCACACTGTCCCGAAATTGACACCCGATGGACACACGATAAAGGAAATGTTCAAATTCGGCTGTGATCGTAGCAACATCGGGCCATTCGTGAGGGCATCTAAGCCATCGTATGACCGCCGGTGGAGTTTCTCAGGCTCCGGCAGCAACTTTGTGAGCGGCAACTTCGTAAGGCACTCGTGAGGGCATCTTGTCAAATCGTGTCATCTTCGTGTTATCATCGGTGCATTCACCCTCACTCTGATCGGGGCGAATGCCCGATGGCACCGATGATAACAAGATGCCCTCACGATGGCCTTACGAAGGGCACAATTGACACACGAATTCAACACGAAAATGAACCTTCACAAGGTCCTTCGGCCATTTTTTGGCATGCCAAAGATTTTGCCACCGCTCACGAAGTTGCTGCCGGAGCCTGAGAAACTCCCCCGGTGGTCATACGATGGCTTAAGATGCCCTCACGAATGGCCCGATGTTGCTACGATCACAGCCGAATTTGAACATTTCCTTTATCGTGTGTCCATCGGGTTGTTTTATTGCACAACAAAATCATGTAAATATATTATGTAAATAACCCAATTTGTGTTCTGTGAAACTAAAAAGGATATAATATATTATTTTGAAGGACAGTTGACAGGAAGTTGTTGTTGTTATGGAAACAACATTACGGAGAAAATGTAATATTTTCTACATATAACGACGGATAAAGTAAAGAACAAAGTCTGAAGATATCAGTACAGTATCATAGTACTGTAACATAATTGTTTTTGGTACTTTCATTGCAGTTGTATGTCTTAAATGTAATGTAAATGTTGGCTTCGTGTGTGGTTCGGGGCCATCTTCGTGCGAAATTCACAATTCCATATTCGTGTGTCCATCGGGTGTCAATTTCGGGACAGTGTGACAGGGCCTTTAAGCCGGGTAAATCGAACATATCCAGGTCCAGGGTCTGTTGAACTGGCTTCGTCGTACAGGGCACTGGAGGCAGTAACGTGTAACTCAGCAGAATCTGAGAAGAGCAGCACCAGCTGCAAAGAGCTGTGCCTTTTACTGTTTACTTCACTAGAACCGCTGAATAGAGATCGAGGCTGCTACGTTTAACCACACACACCTATACACACATCGAACTGAGTATTCCCCCTCGCTTTATGAAGGAGATGTCCTGTCACCGGGGCGCATTATGTGTGTGTGTGTGTGTATCCGACACCACCGGCATTTGTTTTCAAATTACCACGAACAGCACACGCACACACACACACAAAACGAGGCCACGCTTTATTAACTCGTGCGCACGCTTTAGTAACTCGTGCGCACGCTTTAGTAATTCGTGCGCACGAGTTACTAAAGCGTGCGCACGAGTTACTAAAGCGTGCGCACGAGAAAGTAAAACGTGGCCACGTTTTATTTATTTTTCTCTCTATGAACCCTCCAGGGCTCCGTATAAATAAAGGAAAAAATGTGAATTCTTTTATTTCTTTTTTTTATTTCTTTATTAAATAATAAATCTGATTTGTACAGCATTTTAGTAGGATAGTGGTATTTTAAAGTGTCAACAATATAATAATCAGACCCTGCAATAGAATAAATAAAGTTTCACTTTAGTTTTTCAAGTAACTCAACTCTAACTCACTCACTCAGCATCATCAAGGTTAACTTTTAGGAATTTGAGCATGTCCACATTTCCAGGTAGAAGCTGGGATGTTTGGGCGTTTACAATATCCCCTGCTGTGGAAAAAAGTCTCTTGCTTGGTACTGATGTTGCTGGGACAGAGAGATATGCTTTGGGCAGTAGGTAAAACTGCATTGTCTCTCCACCACTTAAAAAAAAATGCAGTTTTTGCCAAGAAGGTGAGGCTTATTGACAGGGCGAGATATAAACATACTGTTGCTACTTGTCAATGTCTCTAGGTATGTACATGTAGCCCTGTAAATACGATGTCCTTTTGTGTTATCTGTTGTTGTATGTTCATGTTGTAACCATGTTGGACAGGTCTCCCTTGAAAAAGAGATCGATGATCTGAATGGGACCATCTGGTTAAATAAAGGTTTAAAAAAAATAATTATTTAAAAATCGCGGTACATTTTGTCAGTCTCACGACGGTATTGAGACATCTATTTACCGCGATATTCGATATATCGTTACATCCCTAGTAAAGACTGATATGTTCTATAATCGGCTGAAACTGTTAAGTCATGATGTGAAATGGTTAACAAAGAAAAAGAGAAACTCAAGCTGCTGCTGCACTTTATTTTATTTATCTAAAATTAAGCACTTTTAAGATGCACATATTTTCAAAAGCTATTTTATTTATTTTCTCTATTTTATTTTTAAATGCTGCCCGAGAGGAACATTAAACATATCCACAGTATTTACTGTATATCTGTGTAGTTCAATGTGAATTGACAATAAATATTGTTGTTTATGAATTGTACTTTCTTTATTTGATTGGCAGTCAGTTGTGGATTACATGCAGACGTCGATACAGGACCCATCCGAATCCAGTTTTGGATAGTCTGCCATGGTTTCATCCCATTTCAAAGTGCTGTTAAGTTCAGGGAGCTCTATGCAAGTCAATGGGACTCCCTGATAGTTGAAACTCTATGCTAAAGTGCCCCCCCTTGCGTTGGAAAGTGAGGACAGGGACCCTGACATAACGTCAACATAGGCCGAGTTGGGAGTGAGAATGTGTTGGCTGATTTAATCGCAGTCACATCAATCAATGTTAACTTGGAAAGCCACAATATTGATATTTTAACTCGATAACATTAGTTGACATTATTGTGGCACATCAGTAAATCCTTAAATATAAATATATAAGGTGGCAGACATCATTTAATGAATTTTAACTGAACAATAACTGAATGAGTTTGTCTCACTCTTAGACCAGCAGGGGTACCAAATATATGCAGACTGCTGCAATAAGAATATTAATTAACTGTCTCTTCGATGTTTGTCTAAATTAATATGATACTATTAACAATCATATCATTCATATCAGCTGTCAATCACTTTTATGATTCACATATTCAGTTTTATTATTAAATCAACTATATTTGTTAGTTAATGATGAATGTTCCTCAAGATGCTTGCTCACCCTCCTTCAAATTTGAAAGACAAGTAATCACGATCCTATATCAAAATTCAAAATAATCAAAAGAACAGTTCAGCGCCCCACAACTTTACTGCAAACCTGGACATTACATCATAAATAACAAACATTAAAGAAGTGACTAACTGCATCAGTTAGGGTTAAAAAACGTGTATTCAGCTAAAACATAAACATCGCTGCAGTTATTATCCAGTGGAAAGCCCTTACCTACTGGCCTAGTTAAATCAAAGTTACTTTCTTTTGGCTGGGCAGTGAAGTTTTACACACCGTCTTATTTGACTTTCTCAGGACTCAAAACTGTTTTTTTGGGGGCAGACCCCCACAAAGAAAAAAAAATATGTACACATAAAAGGTCATCATCTAACAGTTTGTTATGCTCATCCGTGAGCAGAGCATCAAGTTGACATGTCTATTACAGCTGAATGCGCCTATTACCATTTTGTTCAGCAAAACGCCTCACAAACTTATTAAGATCAACAGCTTTAGTGCGTTTTGATTCAATGCTGAGTACAGCCAAACTAGACAGGCTCTTCTCTGTCATTGTAGACCGCAAATACTTCATTATTTCCGTCTACTTGGGTCCGAATGCTTCTCGTTTTGCACCGTCACGTTCAAATGAAATTGCCGCCAATCATATTTCCACGCTCGCGTCAGGGCCGGGGGAGGGGTTACAAGGCTCGCGTCTTGTGCTTCATTCACTTGCACTCGGACATTAGAGACTTTCTCTCATAAATGTCCGATGAGCCACAACTTTTCTTTCAAAACAAAGCTGCCAACTGGGTTGGCAGCTGTGGAGGCAAGGCCTATTTTTAGGGAGGCAGTTGCCACCCCGGTAGATCCGCCCCTGGATCCCACTCACCCATGATGAGGGGGGCGTAGTAAGCCAGGTGTTCAGTGCAGAGTTTAACAGGTATAAATGTTTTGATGTGTGTTTCCTTTTCATCACTGCAGACGTCTGCAGATGAGTGACAGCTGAGTCCAGGCTCCCTCTCTGTGCTTAGAGTGATTAACCAGTGACACCAGTGGGATGTCATACTGGTCTGTTGGCCTTCCCCAGGATACTGCAGACGCTCTCAGCAACATGGAGCAACAAAGCGGTAAGTCCTCACTCCAGACAGCCGTGTTTTCATGCTGTGGTGTTAGAAGCAGCAGGCAGCTTCACTATCACCGCACTGCTTACATTTAGAAAAAAGAGAACTGAAAGTGTGGTTGTTTGAGAGCCACAAGCTCATCTGTTTCTGTCTAAACGTATTTATGAACCAGACAGTGCTCACTGATCGGGATGAGAAAGTTTTGATCTAATATAATACACAAAAAGGCATCTCTGGCGTCTTTACTAACATATTACAGTAGGCTGTAGTACAGTTGTGTGCGGAATGACAGTATGGTAATCGAGGTTGGCAGACCTCCAAGGCCAAAGGTGCTTTCACATTCTCTTCGCAGTTGGGAAGTTTTTTGATGTGTTCATGAGGTTAAGCCGTACTGTAAAAAAAAAAACAGTAGGACGCTGGAATAATCAGGATCCTCTCCAGAATGTGACAGGATCTACCTTGGCCTATGCTTTACTCTTCAAACAGTTGTTGTGTAAATCTAGCTATTAGTTGTTTTCCATAATGCTGCTCACAGACACAGAGAAACAGACAAAAAACACAACCTCCTTGACAGAGGTAATGATAGATGATTGTGCGAAGCAGCAGGAGATGTAAGAGTGTGGTTGAGATGGTACATGGTTTTGTGATCTATAGTTAAAATTGTCTTTAAACTTCCTGTCTACATCCAATATGGAAACATGTCATTTTGTGTTGGTTAACCTCTTCTTCTTGTGACCATCCTGTGCCTGCATGTACCTTGTGTGACCAGTTTCACAGTGTAACAGGGCACAGCTTCTGCACTGTGCCGTATCAGCTTGTCATGTAAATATAGTGTTAACTTCCTGTCTGTCTTCTGCTGAGTCTTCTTTCCTCCATCTCTCTGTGTAGAATAGAATAGAATAGAATAGTTTAATGTCATTATACATGTACAATGAGATAAATGCTTCTCCCTTTCAAGGGTGCCATCAAATAAAAAACAAAACATCACAACATAAGACAAAATACACGCAGCATACATACTTAGGAATAAGGGATAAAGGAATAAAGAATAAAGTGCAGTAATTATTTCCAGGAGTATAAAAATAAAATCTGTAATGTAATAAATAATAATGATCCTCTGTGCTGCTTTTACAACTCTCTGGAGCCTCATCCTGTCGGCCTCAGTGCAGCTGGCGTACCACACTGTGATGCAGTATGTCAGTAGGCTCTCGATGGTAGAGCGGTAGAAGGTCACCAGCAGCTTAGTGGCCAAGTTGTTCTTCCTGAGCACCCTCAGACGCTGCTGGGCCTTCTTGATGACAGCTGTGGTGTTGTCCTTCCAGGAAAGGTTGTCGGTGATGAGGACGCCGAGGAACTTGAAGGTGTGGACCCTCTCCACACACTCGCCGTTAATGTCGAGGGGAGCGAGGTCGGTAGTATTCCTCCTGAAGTCTACGATGATCTCTTTGGTTTTTGTGGGGTTCAGTGCCAGGTTGTTCACTGAACACCACGCTGAGAGCTTCAGTACCTCACTCCTGTAGGCCGACTCGTCTCCTCCTGAGATAAGCCCCACCACAGTGGTGTCGGCAGCAAACTTGACGATGATGTTCTCTGGGTGGGCTGGACTGCAGTCGTGGGTGTAGAGCGAGTACAGGAGAGGGCTCAGCACACAGCCCTGAAGAGAGCCGGTGCTGAGAGTGCGGGTGGAGGAGTGATGGGGGCCAAGTCTCACACGCTGGGGGCGGTTAGTGAGGAAATCTTTGATCCAGGAACAGGTGGGTGGGGGAAGGCCTAGGTTTGATAGTTTGCAAACTAGAATGTCCGGGATGATTGTGTTGAACGCTGAGCTGTAGTCAATAAAGAGCAATCTGACGTAGCTCCCACGATGCTCCAGGTGGCTCAGTGCAGAGTGGAGAGCTATGGCTATGGCGTCTTCAGTGGATCTATTTGCTTTGTAGGCAAACTGGTGTGGGTCGAGGGTGGGGGGAAGGCAGGCCTTTATGTGATGTAACACCAGCCTCTCAAAACACTTCATGATCACAGGTGTGAATGCAATGTGGCGGTAGTTATTAAGGCTGTCTGTGGTTGCTTTCTTTGGAACAGGAATGATAGTGGCTGTTTTAAGGCAAGGTGGGATGACAGCTAGTTTCAGGGAGAGATTAAAAATGCTGGTGAAGACCTGTGAGAGCTGGTTGGCACACGCTCTGAGCACCTTCCCAGGTACTCCATCTCGACCAGCAGCCTTCCTGGGGTTCACTGCTTTGAGCACCCGTCTCACATCATGCTCCTCCACAGTAAGTGGGGGGGTGCTGGAGGCGGTTGGGGGCTGGGGTGGAGTTGCTGATTGCTGCTGTGGTGTCTCGAAGCGAGCAAAGAAGCAGTTCAGTTCCTCTGCTATCGACACGCTTGAGTCCCCAGTTGCCGTGTCACACCCCCTGTAGTTGGTAATGTTCTTAATGCCCTGCCACACCTGCTTAGGGTTGTTGCTTGTGAGGTGGTCCTCAATCCTTGTTTTGTAGTCTGTCTTGGCTTTGTAATTCCTCTCTTCAGGTCGGCTCGAGCAGCACTGTAGAGAGCTCTGTCCCCTGACCTGAAGGCTGAGTTACGGGCCTTGAGCAGCATGCAGACCCGGCCAGTCATCCAGGGTTTCTGGTTTGGGAAAACCCTGATGCTTTTTACCATAGTGACGTTGTCGATACAGTATTTAATGTAGGACAGTACCGTCTCTGTGTAGGTTGCCAGGTCCTGGTGTTGGTGTTCAAATACATCCCACTGGGTGTGTTCAAAGCAGTCCTGAAGCTGAGCAAGTGCATCCTCAGGCCAGGTTGTAACATACTTTCTAGTTGGACTTGTTCTCCGTCTAAGGTGGGTGTATGCAGGGGTCAGTAGCAGGGAGATATGATCTGACAGGCTTAGTTGGGGGAGAGGTATGGCTCTGTATGCATGCTTGATGTGTCTTAAACTTCTTGTGCTTTTTTCTTGTTCTCTTTTTCTGTTCTTCAACAGATCATATCAGCCATCATGAATCCAATGTTTTGTTTTTTAAAATGAATAGGAAAAAAATGAATACTCAAAGCTGGAGTTAAATTGACCTTCCTTTGGAGTCTGGTTTGAAATTTTAATTTTGGGCGTAAACTGGGGTTATCCATCAGAATTTCGTATGACTTGACTTGCTTGACCTGAGCAATGACTTGACTTGCTTGACTCTCACCACAGTGACTTGGGACTTGCTTGAGACTTGTAGGTTAAGACTTGAGACTTGCTCATGTCTTGCACATGTAGGACGTACTCCCACCTCTGGTACATGTATAACCTTTCTCCAGTTTCTAAACCAGTATGAGGAGCTGTGAGCTCTGTGTGCTAACAGCTAATGGTTAACGGCTGATGTTTGGTTTTCGGATTCAACGTCAGTGACGGCAGGCTGAGATCCTCACTGCTGATTGGCTAACGTGAGTCACGCTCGGTTGAAGAAATTGTACTCTCGAGATTGACGCGCACAAAATCGTATTGCGTCCACTGTGAACGCACCATTATGCAGTGACATTTGGAATCTTTTCTATGGTATAAAAGGGATGGAAGCTCATTCTTGGGAACATGGTGTGTCATACAATTATCTCAAATCTCTTTCAATTCATCTTACAATCACATCTGCATCTTCATGCATTGGATAGAACTGGTTGAGATGTGGTCATGTGAACTAGGTTTAGGACCCTCAGTTATATGAACGTGTGATAGTATACAGGGGAGATAGTACCCCATGTCTCTGTGTAAGCTGTGATCGTCCTTCTTGATCTTCCTATGGTCGTCCACTGACTCCTGCTGGATGATCTTTGACCTCTAATTTTTTCTAAAAAAGAAAAGAGATACACTTTTTGCTGCAGTTATTACTTGGTAGTTCAGTTAATCTACAAAGGATGGATGCATAATGGGGCGTCGGGCAGTCAGCATCCCCGGTCCAGGAGAAACCATACCGAAGGTAGCTTTCGCTGTACTGTCTGCTTTTAGACTTCTTTTGCACTGCTGTTCCATCATGTTCTGCCATCCCTGCCTGTGTTGTTGAGGGCTGGGGTGCTTCTTTATTTATTGTCACTACGTAATGATCCATCTTGTAATTATTTGGCGCGAGGATAAAAAGCTGCTCTGCACACCGTGAACAATGACGGCTGACGTAAATCATGAGAAATTAAGCAGTTTAATATTTCTAAATCTGAGCAATATATGTTTTATTAGCTTATGAACTCCATTGTACATGTAATAAAATAAAGTGTATATGAAGTGAAATTTATTAAGTGAGAAAAAAATGTGGAACATAAAAATACATTTTTTTACGGCACACTTGGACAGTGCTCGCGGCACCCCAGCAAATATAAAATAAACCCTTTGAAATATAAATTAAATGTAGAGAGCGCATGAGAAGCGGTATAAACAGCAGAAGCTCCGGTAAGGATTCTTATTGTGTGTGAACAAGCAGCGAGGTCACAGACGGAACATTTAGTTCTAGTTTCTATGATTCACATCTGAATATAACAACCCAATAAATACTACAGAGGAAACAGAAACACTGAAAATATGAGCATCGGCAAAAAGTCGAGCTGAGAGATACGGGAAGCCCAGACGCTGGGTGGCTTTCAAACAAAGGAGCATCATTCCCCTCCTCCTGCTACCCCCCTCCTGGTCCTCCTGGTTCATACCTCTCCCTGCCTCCTTCATCCTCCCACTCTCGTTAGTCTGTCAGAAAGGAGGCAGATTTTCCAGGGAACACAGCCTCTAAAGGACAGCCATGAAAAGAAAGCGCTCAGCTCCTGATGTGAGAGGTGCAGGAGAAAGAGGAGGCTTTGCTGTTCTGCTATGATCAGGTCAGTAAGAGCGAGAAGCAGATGGGCTGAAGCTGACATCCGATGCGTCTCAGTCTGTATGTGATCTCTGTGATGGATCTGCTGACGTTCATACTGTGGAGCTCATTAATACAGCATGTCACGTAGTATGCAAGGTTGTACACATTACATTTGGAGAATGAAGGACGTGGT